AATTAGAAGATAAAAGTAGGTAGAAAATAGAGGAATCCTAGAAAAAGAGGGAGAAAGTCTACTTTGTTAAAAGCATCTCCTTGGTAAAGGAGCATTCCATTAGAAGAAAGAATACTTGAAATAAATATGTTCAATAAATCTGAGGCTTAACACAAGATTTTCCTGGGCTTATTGAAAAGTTTCAAAATTGAAGCATATTCTAAGTTTTGTTTAAAAACATAAGCTGTTGACTAGATACTATACCAAACCATAGTAGACAAAATGCCTGCACAAAGACATCTTACACTTCCATGAAAACAGGAAAAAAAAGTTCACTCTCATAGAGAAGAACAAGCAGCACACTACAAGTGAGTGTGTATGTGCAGCATATGGAAAATATGGGTGAAAATCTTCTGACTATGGCAGGTTGGTAGGAAGGCCATGGGAAAGAATATCTAGGATTTGTACAAATTGGAAAAAAAGGTATACTCAGAAAGATCTGCTGCACTGATAGTACAAGGTCAGCACATTCCACCTCACTCCCCACCTCACTTCGCAGAATGATCAAGAAATCTTCCTACAACCTAAGATCATTCAGTGATTATTAAACCTTGAATAATTTACCTGGATAACCCTGTAGAATTCGCCCTCAGCTCCTAGAGATTTGAAAAGCAGCTGTTGACATTTTATTTATTAGGGAAGAAACTTGCAGTTACAGAACATTACCAAGCACTTTAGCTACAGGACTCTCCAGTTATGCCTTAACTAAATGATTCTAGTTTCTCATATCCACATCTGCAAGCATATATCAATACTGCACTGTTATTGCTAGAACAAATTCCCAGGTATCATTTTAGGAAGCTCAACAATTTTTAACCTTTCTACCTAAGAGCATAGAGCTTCCCTTGTGACCTAAAACATTTGTAAGCATTTCCATTGAGTGTTGAAGGTTTTCTTTAAACATGCAATCACAAATATGTAGTCCTGCAACATAGAAAATACCAGACATTTTTAAGCAACAGATTTTTTAAGATTAAAGGATATAACTGAGGAACCTCCATTATTATAGACTGCTTATCAGACACAAAGGGATAAATAAACACTTAAGTTTCAATGGAATAAATGATGCTAGGAAATCACTGAAGCCAAATAGGACACGAGGCATTTGCTTACTTGCTAAGAGTAAGAGGCTTAAAAAAGGTGATGATTAGCCGACTTTTATTAACAAATTACTGTAGCCAACTGAGTTGAATTCAGCACATTTCAAAACATGCCAGAATGATTACACAACAGCATCACTATTACACAATTGCCTGTTTGCCAGTTTTCCCTTTGCAATATAAAGAAAATAAATAGAACTACAACACTTTAAGTTACTGAAACACAATTAGCTGCAGGCAGGCAGAAGCTGCATCCTCCCTTTCTGCTACCATGCTCAAATGGCTATTAAGGCTACATGTGCCTTCTGGTCAAAGTGCTCACCTCAGTGTTTACTTGCATAGTTTCTATTACAGTGTGTGCCTTTTTTTTTTTTTTTTTTTTTTTTTTTTTTTTTTTGGCATATGCCTCATTTTGCCTATTTAAAGTCAGGCCATGGAGGCCATGGTGAAGTGTCTCTGGAAAGCCTGCCTGTGCTTGTATTTTCCATCAGGTTTGGACTGCTTTTTGTACCTGTAAAGATCATGAAAACATCAGTGGTCTGTACAGACTTCAAAGGCATTACACAGATGTTGAATAGCACTGAACAGAGCTGTCAGCAGCCAGGAGTTAAGGCAGCTCTGCACACTGGTGTTTCTGGAGAAGGCCCTCTGGCAGTAGCATACAGTTCCGACACACATCCAATGCCTGAAAGCTCATATACCACATACACAAAATGAGTAGACTGATTCAGGAACCAAAAAGCAAAGTGTCTTATGTTCAACTCTGCAGGAATAAACAAATTTATTCTTTTTTTGGGGGTGTGCTGTAAGATCAACAATCAGAAACATCAATGTTTTAGCTTACTGCCACTAGAAACTTAGTCTCTACAAGGACATGAAGATCATACTGGAAAAGGGGATTAAATCCAACCAAGAGCTCTTTTTGCTCAGAACTTGCTTTAATATCAAGCATGAGACTGCAGAACAAAGGCAAGCCTCATAATTACACATAACAGCTAATGCATCTTTTCCCATATATTACTTTGCTGGGTGCAGGTCACGTTCCCTCCCAACAGCACCAGTTTCCTCTCATTTTCAGTTCCTCATCCAAATCAAGCTGCCACAGGCAACATGATCTGCAGACAACTTATTTGCATTTTGAATGAAAAACCCTCTCTAATTTGCAATATAAACTATAGGCAGCTATACTGTTGCATGACCACCTTTATATCCACTTAAAGGCTGCACTGATTTGAAGGTCAAAGGCAGATGCCATTTTTCATATTGAAAAATGATTTAAAAGAGTAACTGGCTTTGCACTTGAGTTAGTCTAGGAATGCCAGGAGGAAAGAAAAACGCTGAGCTTCAAATATTTTGTGATTTTTACTTATCTTTAAAGTATTTTTTTAAGATAAAAATTGGAATAGACTTCTAAATGAGATCCCTCATAAATACAAACATATAAGTGTTTCTACTTTTTTCTGTTATTAATTTTGTGAAACTCAAAACCTTAATCATTGTCACAAACTTCCACTGTGGGGCAACTTCTAAATTCCATTTTTGACATTCTGTATTTCTCACCCTCAAATTTTGCTAAATCCAAGTTGTTCACACCTGCTAAACTCTAAAAAAGATGGTTAAACTGCTAAAAAGATGATTATCCTTACGCCATCCAAAAAAGCCCTCTAAAATACAGGTTTTTTCAACCTATTTGAATCCGTAGATTTACCTTAACATAGATGCTACCAGTTCTTCATTAAATAACAGTACTACTTTCTTCTACTCTCCCTGGCTATTTTTATGACATTTTCTAGAACAAAACTAGGCAAGCAGTTTATTCACTTTTCACTACCACTCTCTCTTCCTTAACTTGTGAAGAAATACTGCTTTTACATGTTGCATTCTAACCTCGTTTGCAAACACTAAGTCTAAAAGTTAGTATGTGATTTCTCGTCTGTGAGGTTCAAAGAAGTAGCCATTTATTCCTGCTTATTGCTCACATTAGTGCAGATAGATGTAGTCCTTCAAGCACTATCTCAGATGAAATAAAACAGCTACAATGACATAAGCTTGTCTTGTGCTTTTAACCTGCAGTTACACTCAGAAGGGCTAAGGAAAGTGTAGTACCAGTTGATACCAAGTGTTACTAACTGTACACAGATCTGAAAAAGATAAACAAAACAAACAGGCAAAGCCTCCCAAAAAAGAAACCTTAATCTCAAGAATTAGAGAGAAAACAGATCAACTCATGTGAAGCAAAGCAGAATTTGAAAAAGAAAGATAATGGCTGTTAACTTGCTGAAGAACAGCTATTCTCCATGAGAACTATCCACATCAACACTGTAGATGTAGATGAAAGTACAGCTTTCCAAAAATTCTACTCTAACTGAGCCAAAAGTTACAAGTCTCACCCATGGGACACTTTGCGAGACAACGCAGCCAGAAAACTGCTATGGTTTCCATCAGTCTCAACCTCAGCCTCCTGTCTGGTCCACTGTAAGGTACTTCACATGAAAGAAAGCTTGCCTTTAATTCTTTCCTGAGTAGGAACACCAGCCAACTCTTCTGTAAGATTTATCAGCACTTTTAAACAAACAAAACAACAAACATACATAAACAAACCAACAAAAAAAAAAACCCCAAACAAAAAAAGTTTGTTTCAGGAATAATGGAGTATACAAGGTTTTTTTTTTGTATTCCTGAAAAATCTAACACTTAACGTTCCATAACAATGAAGGATTCCATATTTTAAATTTCTTGCTACTGACACAGCCTAATAAAATTATCTAGAGATCAGCAAATAAAATTGAAATAAATTTTGCTTGCCTGGTCTCTTAAGTCTAGATTAATATCCAAATAAAAAATAGAAACACATATACAGAAGACCTGTAATTAAAAGGCGAATGCCACTTGCACGGGTAAAAATTGCAGGTTTAGACACAGCAGAACTTAACTTTTTTTTGAAAACAGAACAAGCATATATGAAGATTCAAAACACGTTCATTCTAACTGACGCAAGGCAACCAAAAATAATAGCCTAGAGCAAATTGCTTCCCCATCACAGAAGAACTGCTGTAAGCTGACAGCATTCCTTCTGACACTGCTTAGAGGTATTGAGTAGAAACGTGGTGTAGCACAGAATTGGGAAACTCTTGGCAAGAAAAGCTAAAGTACGTGTTTCATGTAAGCTAATATAGTCACACAGTATATAAAAAGAGTTATAGGGAGTCTATGTCCTCCATTTTGTATGGAAAATACCTTTTTTTTTCCCTTAAAATCTCATTCCTAGAAAAATATTCTCAGTTGGCTTCACTGATATGTGAATCACTTGTCTAAAATGCCTCTGAAATTAGTTAACTATTTCAAAGTGACCACGATGAAACAGCAGATTTCCATTGAATTTAACACCTCTGAAATAAAGCTGCTTTATGTATTAAAAGATAGAATTAAAAGCTTGACTAGACAGACCTCCAGATAATCTGATCTGATCCTGCTTGGATCAGATGACTTACTAAGGTCCCTTGCAACACAGGCAATCCTCTGATATGAATCACTTCATAGTCACAGAAACATTTCATGGTAACAGAAACTGTAAAAATACAAACTAAAAACTGAATATTTTACCCGTATTCCTGAATGTTGTTCAATTTGGCATGCTGCAGCATTCAAAAGATTCAAGAATTTAGAAGTTGCTAGTGGAAAAATAATCTATACAAGAAAACACTGTGTAGATCAGGATTCCTCTATGTGCTTCTTCAGTGAATTATTTCTCAAAAGTATTTATCATATATTTTTATTTTATTTGATTTACTCCATTCTACACACTAAATTTGTAATTACCAGTATTTTGAAACAAAGCCAGTTCCCCAAATCACTACACTTTCCATTCCAACACTTCTTTAAAATACATGAGAGCTTGTTTAATGATAGCAAAGCAGACCTTCAAATGATACAGTCAGAAGATATGAATAGCAACACCTTTCAGTAATTTTCATTTATGGAAAGCAGTCATGGCAGACTACTATACAATGCTTAAGATTAGTCAAATGCACATCAATTTACAGTATTCACAGAGATAAAGACTTGCCACACAAGTGTGAAAAAGACAACAGCCTTCTATACAATTTAAAAGTGATTCTCCATATACCTGCTTTACTTGCTAAAATAATTTCCTTCTCCCCAGCTTTCATTACATTTACTGATGAAACCAAGAAGTCTCTTCAGTTGAACTGGTTGAAAGTTATTTAGAATGATCAAAACTCATTTTTAGACTGCAAGCCTTGATTTACTAGGAAAAGAAGGCAAAAGTAGTACATTTCAGTAGTCAGCTTACATGTTAACAGACTTAATTCTGCTTCACAAAATATTCAATTGAACAGAGACTGTAAACAAAAGACATTGGTGCTAAATCTTAAGTGGACATTATATAAATGGTTGTTCAATATATGTGTACATACCTCTCCAGTCTAACAAAAGTGAAACTTTAGAAAATGTCAATTAGACTTTTATGCTTTCAGCTTTCAGTTTGAACAATGATACTAAACACATCTGCATGATTAGTTTACTCTTACACAGCATATCAAGGCAAAACTAAACTCTTAAGTCCTGAGTGGAAAGTTAACTAAAAATGGTACTTACACATTCACATAATCAGCTTCTAACTTGCTTTATTCATACAAGCCAGTTATTGTAAGACCTGCTAGCAAACATCAAGTCTCTGCATTCTGTTCACCTTTGCCCCAAACCAGGTTTTGGCTATGGAGTATTTTGTTGAAAGCAAGTAACTTTACCTCATCTTCTTCTGCCACACAGCAGCAGTTAAATCAAGAAAAGTCTTCTACATACTTGTAAGTTATGAATTTACATCTAGTCAAGTTTTATGGTTTCCATTTTGCTCACAGCTTCATTAATAGTGAAGGTGAAACATTTTTAAAAGATCAGGACACTCATCACTCTCCTGCTTCCAGGTTTTTATAACTCATGAAAACAAATCCTTCTAGACTGCCTAGCATGTGCCTTTATATCCTTATAAAGCAGGGATGAAAAATTCATATACATTCCTCATGCTAGTTCACCACTAAGAAGAAAGCTAAAATCTCATTACAATCAGAATCTGATTCCTTTCTGTATAACCAGGCATACTACTCAATTGGTGTTTAGTATTCTAAATTTAAGTAGTACTTTTGAATGACATTGAGGAATTTAAATTCCATTTTTTAAAACAATTTTTTTTCAACAGTGTAGATAGAATCTATAGAGTGCATTCTTCAGTGCCATTTCTAAGCCACTTATAACCATAGCAAGACTGGTAAATAACTAAATCACTCTGCTAAATCCACCTGAACAAACTAAGAAACATTTTGAAGCAGTGCTGAGTAAAGAATTTTGGTGAGTTGTAAGACAGCTACATGTACGGTATACTGTACTATCACAGCTCCAAACCCTTTATAAAAACCTAACATTCCTTCTTCCCGTTTTATAGTATTTATGCAGTCTCTCATGCCCTCATACTGAGTATTGATGGGAAGCACTTCATAGCCAAGGTCTGTATTGTCAATTATTGTACGGGTCCCTTGAATATGAAGGCGATGTAGAACTGTCTCCAGTGGGTAAAGCATGATATCAGCACAAAGGCTAGCAGCAAAGCTAGCAATAAGTTCTGGAAAATACGCATCCAGCATGCTCTGCACAGAAGATGAGCTCTCTGTTGAGAGGTTGTGAGAATTCTGCCTTTTCAGAACAAACAGAACAAGCTTCTGGACGATGGAACTGATGACATAGTGAAGAACTCCATGTAGAGCCGTTGGAAAAGTCAACACCATCAGAGGAAGGAGACGTTTGCTATGGGGTACTCCCATGCCTACAACTCTGCCGATCCCTTCTTTCACACAGTCCAAAATTCCAGGATTATCGCGAATGATTTCACTCTACAAACATAAGGGAATAGTTACAACCTGTGTAACTCATTTCTCAGACGTTCTGACATCCACTTTAACATGCTGTTTACTACAGTTCAACTCTTTCCATCTTACTAGGGAAGTTACTTGTTTATATGCTACTAAACCTGAACAGCCATACCAATCTAATTTTTTTGCTCTAACACTCTTGATAATGTTCAAGAAAACTTGCTTTTAAAGCTGAACTTCTATTTAGAATTTTTTATTATTAAATCTACATCTGAATTACTTGTCTTACTACCAAAAACACTGAACTTTTTGCATATTACAAATGGTATCAGTTCGCACTAGAACCACTTGGTACTGAAATGCTTATTTTAGAATACAAATACTAGGAAGCATTTATCCAGTTCAACATCTATCCTGTCCTTCAAAGGTTTTAACAGAATTCTTTGTATACCAGCTACGGCTATAGGACCAAGACATTTTTTCTCCCTTTCTCACATTTATCCAGATTTCATGTTTTATCATCACTATTATATCTATACTTAATTTGGGAGTTCTTCTCCGTGCCCAAGTCTTTAGGTGCCTATCAGATGGATCCTTACCACATGTGAGGAGGAGACCATAACAGTCCCCATCTTCCAGCCACCAAGTCATTGTAACAGAACAGAAAGTGATTCAGATATTTGAAATTTTGCTATTTCTCCCTCGTATCATCACAGATCTGTCACTTCAAAGCTATGCTTACTTTTGTCAAACACGCCACCATGTGGTCATCACATGCTCATGAGACAACTACATCCAAGTAACTGCAGTAGAAATTTAAAGCATACTTAAAGTGTGTACACTTTATGAATTATATATAAGAAGTATCAAAATTGTTTTGTTGAACAGTATATCTCACCAGAATTAAAATATTCAAACAAAGTTAATATATATCCAAAAAAGACCCTACAATCTTAACAGTTTTTAGTTCCCCTCTTGCACTACAGGAATATAACACAAAGTAAATGTATAGGAATATAAATTAGGCAAGATAAGCTGCGTTAGTTAATACAGCATAAGAAGGTCTTGACAAATGCTCGCATTACTTGTGCTTCTAATAAAAGAGTTTATGATGATGTTTTCAGGAACTGGAATTCCTCATTTCATATTTATATTCAGTAGATTTTCAGCATATTTATATTCAGTAGAATACAGAATACAGTTGAGCTTACCATGTACCAATACACAGCTACTGTGTGTAACCTAAAATCTTCTAAATTCTTGGTGGGATCACTTCGATAAATGTACAAAGATGGTCACTTATTTAAAAGGCTGGAGGAGAGCCTTTTTTTTTTTTCTTTCTTTTTTTTTTTTTTTTAAATTAGTTTGCTACTTGGCACAAATAACTTACTTTGAAAATTTAAACAGGATTTAAATTATGCCCCCTTCTACCATTTCCAACACAACAGCTAACATCCTTTCAGGCAAATATATGCAATATATTTGAACAAATGACCTGAACAAAACACCTCTTTCTGTTGCCAGAAAGACAATTCAAATGAATGAAAGATGATCTAGAATATAGTGCTATGGGTTACTTTGCGCAGTTACAAAGCATGTTAAGATACATCCTAGTGACATAAACAGATTTTCCTGAAACTTATTTTCATAGCAAAGGAAGAACTAGCAGAAGGTTGATGAGATGGAAGTAGCCCTAAAATAGTACAGTTCAATTTTTTTAACAAAACAAAGCTGAATTATTAGAAAATTATAGTAATTTTTATAAGGGGAAAGTCACTACAATAATTTTTCTGGAGTCTATCAAAACCTTTACATGACAAAGATAGCTCCTATGGTTTATCTGGTACAAAACACGCAGAAGTAACTTGAAGAAGTAGTAACTTGAAGAAGTAACGACACCATTTTACAAATATTGTATTCCAACTCTATTAATTGGCATATCTCATCCTAAGTTTCCGCTTAAAATAATACAACTAATACACCTATTGTAATAGACACTTTACTCTTTGAATTAACAAGTCGTGCAACCCCAAGTAAAATAACCACAACTACTACAATATACAACCGACAAGGACAAACACAAGGATTTATTTAATCTAACCTATATAAAAAAGAACTGTATCTTATAAACATTGTAAAAACATAAAAGTTACCTGCACTGTTTCAATCAGGCTTGCAGAATAAAAAGGCATTGCTATCACATGTGTTAAGCTGCAGAAATTAACAAAATACAAATTAAGGTCTGGACACTGCTACAATATTAGCCTAATTTGTAACTGAAAGTTGATAAAAGTCATCTATCAAGTGACACCTGACAGAAATTAGCAAACCTTAATTCAATTACTAAAGCACACAAAAAAACCCTTCAATCTGAACTGCAATAAGCATTAAATTCTATTTCCCTTTTACCAGATCACCTGAAGTTTCAGAGGAATTAGAACTTAATTATTAAAAAAGCTGATCTTTCAAATCAGTGTGGCTCCATGAAAGAAACTAGTAGTAAAAAAATAATTTATGCAACTATCATACGATTAAGGTTATTGAAAGTTAGCATTAACACCCTGTCAGACAGATATGGCTGCGGATCAAACTGTTGTACCGTGTGGTTTGTGATCTCTCATACAATTTGAAACTTAGAAATGCATGTAAGATTCTGAAAATAAACACTGATATAAATGGCAAGCAATAAGAAACAAGGTAATAACACATGCTACACTTACCCTTTGAGTAGAAGGTGGCCACCTATCTGCTTGAGGTTCCATTTATGTGAAAGCTCTCTAGAAAGAAAAATAGTATTTCTCTTAATACTGCTAAAACCAGTTACTCTCAACTGTTTGAGAGTTGGGAAATATTAGGCACCATGAACACTTGGAAGATATCCACTAAGCCATAATACTTAGCAGATGTGAAAAATGAAATCACCTAGATAAATTAAGTGATCTGTGAAAGCCTAACCTATCAATTCAGTAGGTACAATTATCCTCTTACTTGAGGAGCAAAGTCAGAAGAGCTTGCCAATGGACACCCAACTTACCACAGAAATGTTAATGTACACTTCTACTACTCTGTTCTAAATCAGGAGAGTTTATTGATTGTGAATTATAATCAACATATCAGTCCCCTTCTTGTCTGCTTTGGAGCTTGATGAATCTTCTTAATCAGTGATGCTAGTGGCACTAGTTTCTACAGTTAATAAACTCATCTCCCAGTGTGAGTCCAAGGATATACATCATCAAGAAAGCAAGCTGATCCAGCAGAAAACTGAATAGACTGGTGCACATAAAGACAGCCATTCTTGCCAGATCACTTCCCTAACCTAGTTCACTGTGTAACTTCTCAGCTGTTGTGTTGGTGCAGAGGTGGGTGTAGCACTGACGAAACTGAGCAACTACTATCAGGTATAATCGCTTCTTTCAGCTGCAGCATCAGTTTATTTCTCAAACTGTTGAATAAATGTCCCACAAGAAAGTCATCAATTACATTGGGCAGAAATCAGAACTGTGAAACCTCACATGCTGTATTGCTACTCACGAATTAAATCATTATCTTTGGATGTATTTCAAACAAATATGAACTCACACTCAGATGAAAGTATATTCCTAGGAATCTCTGTTACCTGTGAGGCAAAGGCGATCAAAAAGCTTAAGTACATACTGCATGCAATTTAAGTATGAATGACTGTAATGCCTATGACATCTGCCATGATTTTTTGTCAGTATGCATGCAGGCTTTGTAGTAGCTCAAATCATCCTGCCCATTTCTTATTTCTAAGGACAGTTCAGTTTAGAGGTCCCCAGGTCTGTACACACATTTAAAATTCAGTCATTTGTGTCCTCAAAGCTATCCTGCTTCTCAAGCCCTCCGGTCCATTCAAACTTCAGTACAAAAAAACAGCCTGAAAACCTAACCACTCGTCTGCCTTCCTAAAACACCTTCTAAAAAGCGTCTTTACCAGCCTCAGTGTTTGTCCTGCAACTGTTAAGTATCTTTTCCTATCTTACTTATTATGCCAGAATCTACTTGCTTGTCGCTAAAGTTTTAGTGACTTTATATAACAAAATTTCTCACAAATACTCTTCTACTTAATATACATATCTATAACAGATCCGAAAACATATCATTACAGCTATCCATCACTCCTATGAGCTCTGGACCATTACAAAATGAAATACTGAGGAGAAAGTCTTCTGACAAGATTTACTCACACTTACGTGTGATGGTACAGATAGCCCCAGTGAAGTAGAATGGCAAATACATCCTTTAAAGTGGGCACAAAATTTTATTTGGCCCCATTTATTGTGAGACTACTGAACGATGTACATATAGCTGTTGGTAAAGAAGTGCAGAAGATAAACCTGATAACCACACGGACTCATACTTAACATGTCTTTTAATGTATAGGTCAGGCCATTTTATTTTCTCACTTCAAAAGGCAGTGGAAATGATTAGAAAGTTGGCAGTATTGCCTCATTAACCAAGATTTCTATTTAGAATAATGAAACCAAGACTTTAGACATGATAGCTGCTAGTATCACACAGCATAACATATGCACAAAAACAATCTTATGAGTCCTTTCATGCCAATAGAGTACTAAATACTAATTGCAACTTCATTTCTATAGTGAGACAGCTAGGCAGATAGACTGAACACATAGTTCACCAGTTACAACTGACTGCTTTAACCTATTTAAGCTTTTCAAACAATGTTACATTGTCAAAAATTGATGATTAATTTATTAGAGCAGTTAAAAAAAATGCAATACCTTGGTAAAGGTGTAAATTCACTGATGATGCCCTCTGTTCCAAGGGTTATGCCTTGAACAATAAAAGTGCTGCCCATTCCCTTCCAAAGGGCTCTTGGACCCTATATTTTGAGGTATACAATTAAAGTCAAGCAAAGTAACACTTAGTGTTCCCACTTTTTTGCTCCTTTTCATAAAATACCAGCAACTCCCAGCTATCCAGTGGGTAGAAATCTAACTTTATATTTCCATATTCCCAAATTCAAAATGCAACTAACTTCTTGCAACTCTGCAAATTACATAATTTCAAATAGTTGTCAATAATTTGAGAGGTGACAGGCATGTCTCCGCAGATATTTTGTACCTTAAATCCAACCATTTCCACTAGGCAAAAAGTATTTGAGATGTTAAAGCACAGCTGTAAGAAATCCAGAAAGTCCTTTTCCACTTTTTTTCTTATTTTTAATTTTGGGACATTTCTCTCCAAGGGCTACGCAGAATTTGAGATTCATGCACAACTGTTTTAGGAATTACTTATTTAATTCTAAATATCTTTATCTACATAAAAAAAAAATCTTTTTTTTTTTTTTAAGGATCTTAACACAAGGTTAATTTTAGAGAATGTAAATTACTAATATCTCCTAAAACTGTCACCAATAAATATTAAGTCTGATAAAATGAATTTACAGATATCTTTTAAAAATTTCTGCAACAGAAGTAATACCTCTTTACAATACCCAAGCTCTTTAACTACCAATTACATCTAGAATATGCTTCAGTACACACTTGCTCTAGTAACCTCCATCACGCACATGCAACTAAACACCAAAAACTGACCTGTGTCTTATTGATGCTGTACATAATATTGACAATAGTAAAAGGAGTGAGATGATAGTTCCGAGCATGATAATTAACCTGTTAAAAGATAAATTACGGTATTTTTTTAAACACATATGCAAATGTTAAAACTCTACAGAAAAAGCACTTGCAAAATTAGGCTTTTTCGGAAAACAAAACAAACAAACAAAAAAAACTATGAAGATCAGCCAAAGTGAACAAAATATTAATAATTTCTCCATTGAATTTTAAGGAAACATACAGAATGTGTTTACATTTTAAGCATACAGATCTAAAAGAGGAAAAAGCACTGAAAATAATTAAGACAAAGCATCCTGCTTATAAATGGAGATACAAAAATTGTCACATAAACGCTGTTTTAGATTATTCTCCATCATTCAAATGGAAAAGAACATGAAAGTTGAAAGTAAGTTAAATTTTGAGGTGGAAATTTTGAATTTTAAGTAAATTTTCAGTGGAAAACATGAATGCTGTAAGTGAAAACACAATCCAGCAGTGTCTTTTTAAAAATTTTGCAGAATTTTTAAAGCAGAGAACTCTACAAAAACTAAAATTCGGCAGAAAATAAAAGCACATGAAACTAGTAGAGAATACAACAGGTCTGTGTAGAAGAAGAAATATAAAAGATATACCTGACACTGACGACGCAGGACAATGCAAGGATGAGCCAAAACATTTTCTGTAAAGAGGCTTTAAAAAAAATGTGTATTTAAAACATCAGAAGTAACTGTAAACGGATTTAATAATACTTTTTTTTCCCTTTAATACTCTTAGCACTGTGTTTGGGGAAAAAAAAAAAAAGAAAACACAAAACCTAAAACCCTACGTATTAATTTTATACTTTGTGAATGAATGAGGTACTGTGGAGGACTGCCACATAAATCACCAGTAACACAAAAGGACAAGTATTAAAAAGATATCCACAAAATAAAAACAACAACGAAAAAAATTACCCATCCACCCACTCCAACGCATACATTCAGAAAGAAAAAGTAATTGCCTCTACACGTACATTTTTTCATAGGCAGAACAAAGTATTAAAATTCTTAAATCCTCTTTCCTCAAAACACAAGGGGGAAAAAAAAAACATGTCTGAGTCAGCATCAGGAGGGTTACCTTCCAATTTTATATTCATTTCACACACCACAGTACTCATCAAGGCATTCCCTAGAAAGGCTAGGCAACTGTTATTAAACCTAGTTTGGAAATTTTCTGCAATACAGTTTTCATCAGAAAATGCTACTGGATGAAACCAACTCTCTCACTCTGAAGAGTGTTTTCACTCAAACGTTCAGAGTAAAGTTCTGTTAGTTCTAAAATAGCACTTGTGGTCACAGTCATCAGAGAAACTTTAATTTCATCCCAAAGCATACAAGTGAGTAGTGATCTCTACGTGGTTCAAATCTGTGATCTGGATTACAAATAAATAAGATGCAGACTCCATGTCAAGCATCCCTGACAACATTTGCAACCCCAAACCTACTGGCACAGCTGGCACAGCTTTCTACTAGACAAGCTTTACTCAGGATAAACAAATATTAATTGAAACATGCAGTATTGAGGCTGCAATTTCTTAAACTATTAAGCTAATTAGAAATTTGCTGTTACTGAAAGGGGTGAAAGTTTCTCTCTCTTTTTTAACAAGCTCTTTTTGCAATTCATTTCCCCATTTAACACAGTTTTAATAAATACAGCACACTCATCAGCAGGTCTAAATGAGCAGCAGAGCCAGTGCAAGGAAAACAAGAGAACGGGAGTGGGCAGTTTAATGAGATATGATGATCTAATTTAAGAGGCTCATTTGGACCGCTACGAAGCTCAGAAGCTCACTTCTGAGTGAGCTCTTAGAAGCTCACTTGCTAAAAGCAGTCCTTCCTATCCTTTATCCCTTTCATAACTGGCCTCCCACCATTTAAGCCAGTTTCTACTGCCTCTAACAGCTAGTCCACATTCACATAAACCTGACTTAATGAAAAAGCAAAGAAATATGCAGCATCCTCACGGGCTTTGCCTTTTATGTTTAGTCAGTCATACTGGTCATATTGGTTCAAATAAGTTCTAGGCATCAAGGGTGATGACAATGGGATAAGAAGGAGGACTGTTTTATAGCTGTGAGCCGAGTAAGAGGTCCTCCTCTTTAAACTGCAGTACATCTCAACTGTCCATAAAACTGAAGCCTTGAGAAATGTCACAAGCACTCTGAAGGGAGCATCCTGAAGGGGCAAGCTCTGAAAGGAAAGCCCTTCTCTCTGAGAATTCTTACACTGAGATCAATAAGAAATAAAGCAGTAATAATAAGAAACAAAAAATACTATCAATAAATACTATCAACACTTCACAAAATACTATCAACACAATCACCAAAAGTAAAGAATAAAATGTGTATTAATCCACTATGCCAAATCAAGTTTACTATTCCAGGATACTTTGTTACAAAACTTAAAGGCTCCATTATCTTCTTAGGAAGATTCAGATAACACCTCAAAACATTAGTAGGAGTAGCAAGCATGGAAGTAATTTTCTTGTGCTATTTTCACATTTCTGTGATAGATAAGTACATAGGGCAGACAGGGATAAGGACACAAAGGTTTCCAGTATTCACTAATGACAGCGGCATTTTCATAGGGAACACTTCAATTAGAGAAACAGAAATCGGCACTGCTTTTTCGTAGTAGGTTTCTACATGCAGTTCAATTGTGTGGTCTACTGATATAAAAACATGTAACAAAAATGTGCAAGACAACTTCAGCTTTACTGCAGCAAAATCTTTGAAAATTATACAACTCCTACCTTGCGAGTCCAATACCAAAGCCTGCAAATCTGTTCAATTGGTCTGAAAGAAATGAAAATAGATTATATAGAGTGATAACCATGAAGGGCAGAAAACCATGCAGATCACTGGAATATGCACTTTTATAGCATACTTGCTTGAGCAAATTACAAGCATTAAATCAAAACATTTATGTCAACCCAGCAAAAGAAGATATTAAAAATAGTTCACCAAGGTACACCTGCAGTTTGGATCATATCCTTGTGAATGCTTTATTTATGTACTTTTGTACATAAAAAGTTTCATGTATTTACAAAGAAGAATCCAATGCAGAAGAAACAAGACAAAGCGAATAGTTACGGTGTAACACTATTTTTATATCTAACAAAGCTAAGTCAAATCCGTAATTGTCAGAATAACATGTATGAGAGTTTGCAAATTGAATTGCAAATGTACATGTGTTAGCAGAAGTTAATTTAAAACCAGACAGCAAAAAGAGAGAAGCTTAAGAAGGGGTAACACAAAACACCACCAATGATATAATAGTGGTCATCAATATGACGTGAGTTTTCAAATCAGCTGTTTGCCTCCATTTCTTTGCAAACTCTTTACTAAAGAACGCATAAAATGGAAATGTGAAAATGGCTTCAGATCTCTTCTGTCTGTAAACAGACAGATATTTACAGATTTAGACAACTGTTAATCAGGAAAGGTTTAAAAAAATCTGAAAATTGTAAAGGCAAACAGAAAATAAATGCTCAATCCTAAATTACTGGTGCAAGCAGATTGTGTACATGGAGAATCTCAGTAACTTCAGTGGGCCCTGCTTGGACACAGAATGACAGAATCACAGAATGTTTAAGATTGGAAGGGATGCCTAGAGATCATCTAGTCCAACTCCCCTGCTCAAGCAAGGACATCCTGGCACTGGCACAGGTTGGCATCCAGGCATGTGTGGAAGATCTCCAGAGAAGGAGACTCCACGTCCCTGGGCAGCCTGTGCCAGGGCGCTATCACCCTCACAGGAAAGAAGTTCTTCCTCTAACCTCCTCCTCACATGGAGATGGAACTTCCTGTGGTGCAGTTTGCACCCATTACCCCTTGTCCTGTCACTGGCCACCACTGAGAAGAGCTTGGCGCCTTCCTCCCTACATTCCCCCTTCATGAACTTATACATGTTGATCAGATCCCTTCTCAGCCTTCTCTTCTTCGAGCTGAACAGGCCCAACTCAGTCTCTCCTCATACAAGAAATGTTCCAGTCCCTTAGTCTTTGTTGCTCTCTGCTGGTCCCCATCTAGAAGCTCCACGTCCCTCTTATACTGGGGAGTCCAGAACTGCCCCCAATACTCCAGGTGCGGCCTCCCCAGAGCTGAGCAGAGGGGCAGGATCCCCTCCCTCCACCTGCTGCCAACATCCTCCTGATGCAGCCAGGAGCCCATGGGCCTTCTTGGCCATGAGGGAACTGCTGCCTCGTGTGTAACTTGGTGTCCACCAGGACTCCCACGTCCCTCTTTGCGGAGCTGCTTTCCAGCAGGGTGACCCCTAATCTGTCCTGGTGCCTGCGGTTATTCCTGCCCAGGTGCAGGACCCTGCACTTGTCCTTGTTGAACCTCAGGAGGTTCCTCTCTACCCAGCTCTCCAGCCTGTCCAGGTCCCTCTGGATGGCAGCACAGCCCTCCGGAGTGTCGGCCACTCCACCCAGCTTGGTGTCATCCGCAACATGACAGATATCATTGGACTCAATGATATAGAAAATCTTTATTATCTCTCTGAAAGGCAGAATTAACAACCTGCATGAGCAGCTAGGAGAAAAAAAGTTACCGTCAGAGCATTTAAAAATATTTCATCAGTGTTCTGATAGATAAGTTAAGGGTTATATACAACCTCCTGTAAGATAAAGACCTAAAAATATTACAGATGATACGTATATAAGCACCAAGAAACACAATGCAAAATTACCTAAACTAATCTTTTGTTAGACTTCTGATACACAACTGTTCATCGGGTGTTCCAAAATACCCTCAGGACTTATTGTTCTCTTTATGTATTCTTGACTTACTAAATTTCTCCTAAACCATCTCACCCTCGCAAAGATGTTCAAGGAGAGTTTCACGTGCATTTCCCAACAGCCACTGAGTAAGAATGGAGGTGTGTCCCTTGCTCAGATTCTACTAACTTTACAATTTCTTCCCCGTGATGCACCATAATTGTTTTCACTTGGTCAGCTCCTGCCCTATCGACTACTCCCTAAAGACACCCAACAGATGGCAGACACAAGGTCAGGAACCTCAACGTTGAGCACACAACGAAACAAAAGGGCAGCCCGACAGCATGTGCTGCACAAGCGAAGGTGCTTTCCGTTCCGCAAGCTACCGTACATTAAGCATTTCCTCGAGAGATCACAGTTCATAGGACGAAAAGCGCAAGAGCTGCGCAGTGGCTGTCGCCCGTCATGGCCTCCCTCGTCCTCCATCTCCCTCCCCAGCGCGGGCGGCCCGATGGTAGCGGCGGCGGCCACGGCGGCCCTGCCCCTCCTTACCGGCGCCGGGGCCGCCCGCCGCCAGGCCGGGCTCCTCGTTGAGGGCGGCGCCCCCCAGCGGCGTCCCCGCGCCGTACGGCGGCGTCTTCTCCCCCCAGTGCAGGTTGCGGCTGCCAGGGATGTCGGGCGGGCTCGTGACCCAGTGGCTCAGCTCCGCGGCGCTGCCGAAAGGCCGCCCGCCGGCGCCCGGCTCATCGCGGCCGCCGCCGCGGTAGCCGAGGCCGTCGAAGCCCTCGGGGCGCCGCGGGTGCATGATGGCGGCGGGGGGGCAGGGAAAGGGTGGGCGGCCGTAACGGCCCTAACGGCAGAGGGGCCGCTCACCTGCCGCCCCCGCGCCACTTCCGGCTCAGAGAGGCAGGCACGTGACCCCGGGAAAGGCGGGGCAGCCAATGGCTCTCGTCCTTCCGGCAGCGGTGCGCGGTGCTGCCCCCTGCTGTGCCGGCGGAGGCGGGGGGCGGGGCCATGGGCGGGGCCGTTAGCTCGGACGTTAGCGCGACCGTTAGCGCGACCGTTAGCGCGGACATGTCGGTTCCGCGGTCGTTACGCTCAGGCTTCGCGGCCCTTCCGCCGCTGCCCGGACGCGGAGGGCCGCACCACAGTGTAAAGCAGCCCGGGCATCCCGCTCGTACGAGGCTTTTGGGTTGTAGTCTAAGCGGCTGGCGGCCGCGGCCGTCCCTTGCCATCTGCCGGCAGCCCCTAGTGCACCCTCGAGGACCCTGCCTCGCAGGGTCCCTCTGCTCGGGCAGTTGTCACGGCACCCTGGAAGCAGGATATATGCAACCCAGAAGCACAGAGCAGTTGGCTAACACATGCAAAGCAAGCCAGTCCGACAAGTTGGCAGGAGAGGCATTAATACACTCACCACCTGCATACGGTGCAGGCTGGGCTCTCAGCAGAAAGTAGGGAGTGTCCAGACACCCTCGCTCCTTGATGCACACACATCCTCAGTGCTGCTGAACTGTGGTCTCCTGATTTCTGTTTTCATTGTCCTTCACATTTTTGTACCTTTTCACATCAGTGTTCCTCCTTTTAAATCACTGCATTGCTAACTCTTCTTGTTTCGGAAGACCTACCTGTAGTTTGTGTAACCTTCCTTGCCTTGCATTACTCTACTCAGTACACCAAGGATGCTCTGTGTAGTTTTTTCACAGCTCTTTCTCACAGTTGAACATTCTTCTCTGCTTTTTCAGCCAAGGTTTCAGAGTTGGGCCTTGTCAAAAGAGTAATAGTCGCATGAATCTGTAGTCAGGGTTACCTCCTCTCTCTCTAACCTTAACTGAGGGCCTCAGTCCATCAGAGGAGCCTCTCCTGAAACTCTCTTTGGAGCTGCTAATGGGAGGGATATGAAACCCACTCTCCTCTTTCTGAGACCTGTGCAGCTCACTGAAACTTGTACTTTCAATCTACTTTTATGATTATATGTCTACCAAATAAATAGCCCCAGCAGAGAAGATAGAAACTGGAAATTTGAGCTTGGCTGGCAGAACAAGGAGAAACTTGTAATTCTAGCCAATCACTCTCAAGATCCTTCTTCTGTGAAATGGCAGTTCTCCACATTTCCTTCAGCACTTTTCCAAGGCTGCCTCTGGCAAGTAGCGTGAGAAGAATTTACATGAAAGTAGAGTCATATCATACCAAAGACTATATAGGGTACAGATAAATCTCTCAGCTTTCAGTAATATTTGGGTGTGCTAGTGTAGTTTGATTTTGCAAATTGGAGGGTACTCTTTGGAGAACCTTATATTTGAGGTAAACAACAAAGCTTAAATCTTGATTTGAAGCTTGATTTTAAAGGACAGAGGAAATGGTGGCATGCTGTGACACATCTCTCTTGCGTGCAGGACCAAGTACTCCTACTGTGGTAGCTGAATTAATTTGGAGTTAGATCAAAGCCCTCATCACAAAACTTCTCTCCTCATTTCCTGTATTTTAAAGAGCCTTGGGTAAGACTCCAGAAAGCACACTCTTGTCTATCTTCAAACTGATTGCTTTCAAAATAATCACAAAAGATCGTTCTGTGTGTAGACTTTAGATGATCTGTGAGTTGCTTGAAGTGAGGAGGTTAAAAATCATTGTTCTTTACTACTTGGTTACTTTTCTTTGTTCTTCACTAGACTAGAAGTTATTGTGCAAGGTAGGAGGACTCAGGGCCTTCCACACCTGGGAGGGTCACCTAGTCTCTTCCTACAGGCAAACCCAGAAAGAGAGGCTGTCACCACAGCTTTTTCTCTCAATAGCCAGAAGAAATCAGGGCACAAGCTGGTCCATTTATATGAATCGTGAAAGGGATTGCTGCTACATGTGGATAAATGTTTTAAAGATAAACATGGTAGGGGAAGCAAGGGGTTATGGGTGAAACAGAATTTGTGAGATAAGTGACACTCCTGAGAATTCCCCATGCTTGGTGCCACATGGCATGTATGGGTTTTAGGTATCATTATTTTCTTGTTATGAACCTTCTGGGAAAAAGTAATCCTTGCTGAGCAGAAACTACACTAATGTAGACAGATTAGCAGAGGAGGGGAGGAAGTGGCCTTTAGGGGGCTGTCTGCCATTAAAGGTTTGACTTTAACAAGCATACTGTAGAACCATTGACTTATATGAGCCAACTGTTTTGCAGGAAATATGTAATTAGCTTTAAAATATTTATATGCTATGCCATTTAGGCTGATAATATTAAGAAAATGCATCTCAGGATGTGGTTTCATATTACAGAGTGTTCAGTAGCAGCACTGACGTAAGGTCTGTCTGTCTCCTCCATCCCCAGTGACTCATTTCAGTCTGCAAGCCAAGGCAGGATTTATGTTGCTTTTCAGTTGTACTGGTGAAACTGTTTGGGTGACTGTGGTATGAACTAGATTTAGGGAACTTCATGTGAAATAGAATAATCAAGATTTTTGGTAACACTAAAGACACAGATATGGCTCTTTAGCATGACTGAATACAAACATGCTTTGCACATCAGTAACAGCAATGTCACTAAGGAACACAGGCACACTCTCTATCCCAAATGTGCTCCCATTTCCAAACTGTCTTTTAGGAAGCTTCAAGCATAGTGGAAGAAGCACAAGCTTCTGTAAAATCAATGCAAAGGAGGAAGAAATCTGGATAATTTACATGCCAAAGATGCACAAACTGCTATTTTTTCTGTTATGTTGTGTTCACATGGCAAAAAAAGCTTTCTGTAGATGTGAAATATTTCACATTTAATTACGGTGAGAACTATACTGATTAGTATAGATTTTTGAATTCAATCAGCTGTAGTACTAACACTGTTCACAAGAAAAATGTCCTTTGCTTTAATTTAACAGTATTTCTGGTAGGGAAAAAATCAATGCCAAACAAAGAAACTGTCTGTGTCAGCCTTACCTAAATTTGTTTGATCACTTCGTAAATGTATTTGGAAAGCACTTTCAAGTTGTAGAAGGAGAGTAAAGGTTAAATATCAATAACAATGGGCAAATGCAACTGGTAACGTCATATATAGTTATCAATATTATATGGATATCATGCTCTTCCAAAGTTATTATTGCAGTTTTGTCTTCAAAACAGTGTGACGAATTTGTGATAGGCTTGCCGTAAATGTCACTAAGGATGAAAAAGAGAAATTACAATTCTGAATGTGATGATGGAAGTGCTTACAGCTTACTATTGTCTGTCTAGATCAATAAAAGAGAGCAAATAATACATTTTTGCTGACTTTTCTTACTGAATTAGTCACAGGCAAGCTTGCAGCTAGAAAAGAAATCCAGCACACCAAAATAAAGGGACAAGTACAGACAGCAGTCTCTGAGAGAGTAGTAGAGGAACCACTGGGAATTTCAAAATATCAGCCCACTGCTGAGATGACAGATTAATCTTTCTCCGGTCCTGGTGAGGATGCTGAGGACAGAGAGAAGCTAGGCACTCAGTCTGCCTAGAGCCTTTGACATTGCCTCTTGTCACAACATGAAGGAGATTATCATGCCAGAATGTGAATCACACATGCCTGGGAATTCATTTATAGTTTAAGAACCTTCCAGATTTCCACCATATACTATGAAACACACGCAAACTATGAGGGATGAGAGCAAGTCTGTAAAAGATGTTTCATCCCTTTCCAAGGACTGTAGCCGATAAGGAGGGATGAGCAGAACAAGCAGAAGCCCTTCAGAGCTGTGGCCATCCCTCTGTCCAGGCTCTGTGCCATGTCAGGTGGCAGAAAACACTCCTGCTCCCTTGAACCCCCTACAAAGCACTCTTGCATGGTGCTTCTGAGCAGGCAAACCAGCAAGAAAAGGAGCACCGAGAGCACTAAGAGGCACATCACAACTTTGCCAGATTGTCCTAGCCTTTCCAACCTTCTACCTTGACGCTTAAATGCCTCCCACTCCAATCATGTTCTGCCTTCTCACCAAGGCAGAGGCTTATTATTCTCCAAGGCTTATTATATTCCAAGACTCACCAAGGCTTATTATTTTCCCACTTTCCCACCCATACATCTTGCCTCCTTTTTCCTTCCTTTCTCCCTTGCTGTGGTACTGCAGGCACTGATGGAGAAGCACATTTCCACCTCTCTTCTGCTTATGACACGGCTTTCCAGAATGATGGGAAAAGTCTTTCCTCCTCCACCTCACTGTCCAGATCCCCGCAAACTGTCTGCAGTGACAGATCTGGGTCCAGGACAGCCACAACCAGAGCAGCCTTCCCAGTCGCTTGCACACCTGCAACAACCTGGTGTGTAACATAACATAACATAACATAACATAACATAACATAACATAACATAACATAACATAACATAACATAACATAACATAACATAACATATATACAAAGCCAGACCATTTTGGGGAAAGAGTAAGTGCGAGACCAACAACTTCAGCATGCCTGAGCTTCAGCAATCCTCTGGTATTGAGGATTTCTCCCACTTCTCATCCTGTGCTTCCCAGCAGATATTTTCTGAAACAGCTTTTGATTGATTCTTCTTGCCTTCCCGCTGAAAAGAAGGCATTCCCTCTTCTCCCTGCTTTCTTATACCATCTCATTTTGGTGGTCTTAGAACAAATGCTTGTCCTTTTGCTTTCTTCCAGTGCTGCCATCAAGCAAAGCCCACCAAGGGCTTTAGCTATGTGTTGGGCCTCCAGTTCCTTGGGGGCATTTAAGCCTCATTATCTCTATTTTTTTTTTTCAATCAATAAAATACAATTATTTTAATCAGTTTAGGATTGAACAGGTTTAAAATGTTATTATCATGATTAGAAATTATAATAAT